CCACTACTTGTTACTTCTATCATTACCAACTACAAGTACAACTATTACTATCATTACTACTACTACTATTATTACTACCAGTACTGCTATTACCACTACTACTACTACAATTACTACTATTAATACCATTACTACTACTGTTACTACCATTACTACTATTACCATCACCACCACCATCACCACTACTATTACTACTGCTACTACTACCATTACTACAACTAGTACCACCACCACTACTACTACTACTACTACTACTACACAGCTCTCACATGTGTACCTGTCATCTGCATTCCCCATTATTTTCCTCATCCCTCCTCTGTTTACTCAGTGCTGGATGTATTTCCCGATGCATTGTTACCTATTCTTACACACGGGCTATGTTTACAATGTGCATCCTTGTGTAACTGCATCCTACTTCTCATTCCACACGTGTATTTCCCCACTGCTCCTGTCACGCACTGGCAACCAACTCATCCAAGCGCAGAAATGTAGCTCCTCGACTGGCCCTAAACCTGTCTCAACCCGATTTACTCCTGACGCCGTGTCACTCATTAAAATGTAAAAGTTTGGAAAGTTACAAATGACGTGCAGCCATTTTGATTTCTGATTGAATATATTTTCGTCTTGCCTCGTGAGATGTCACTTCACCTCGTCACTCCGAGCAACCTCCGCGACCCAGAGTATACTTTCAAATGTACTTTTAATGAACGCGTGTTATGTATTTTTGCAGTTTTAAATCTATTTTAAATATGTTTTTGGCATCTTGGCTCAAGTAATGTCACAATTTCTAACTTAAAATTGGGCAACAGTAGTTTTTTTTGGTCTAGTGTTTGTCCTCTGATCCAAAAGTTTGCAGTTGAAATCCCGCTCTTGACATAAACATCATTGGTAAAGCTGTCAGATCCATTGACGTGCAGGTTGACAGTTCTAGCTCCAATGAATGCTGTTGTTGTGTCCTTAAGCATGACAATTAACACACATAACACCTCGCCCCCAGTGTCTCTGTACACTGGTGTCTGAATAGTGCAGGGCCACAGACAGGTGTCGATACAGTGAGCCATTCAGAGCTCCCATACCCAGTTAGTTAGGTTAGTTTTATTTCAAACATTATTTTATCAACACAGACATTTACGTGGACAGTCTGGTGTAATAACAGATTTGTTTCGGGTGTTTTGTGGAGTGGGTAAGACTGTTTTTAGTGGCAGGAGAACTATGGTCATTGACATGCACTAGCCTAGCACCAGTGACCTCTGCAAATACAAGGACTGGATGGGATATTTCAGAAAGTGTCTCCACACGTCTCCAACACTCTGGCTCACTAGGAAATGAGGCCCTATGTCCAAAATTCCAGACTGTCCCTTGGAACATTCATTTTAGGTTTCTATCCCAATGCAATGTGATGCTATTGAAGTAATAGTGGTAGAGTTACTTCAATTTGTAGTAAATTGTTCTACCTGTGATCAGGTCAGGAGCCAATTCAGCAGGTCGTCTGAGAGCTGCATTTGTTTGGACGCCGCTGGGCTAGCAGTTGTTTGATATGCAGCACTTTGAGTGGCTTGAAGGTAGAAAAGTGCGATATAAATGTGACCATTTACCCTTTAAAATAATGTATAACCTGCACTTCATTTCCAATGAGGTGTGGAGCCCCCTCTGCTGTCAGCAATTACTTTAAACAATGTGGAAAATAAATAAATGAAGCCATTAGGCAACAAGAAAGCAATGCTAATAGAGCCATGCATTTATTGTGAACACAATTTGACTGTAGAACATGTCCGGTGATGGCTCATTGACTTAAAAATTGCATATAGGAGAAGTCAGTATTTTTACCTGTGACACTCCAGTCTTTGTATTAATGGATCAGTGAAACAAAATACAACTCCAGGTCTGTTTGTGATGAAGGACAACAATATTAAAAGCTCCGGGGCATGTAAAATCACATTTTTGGAGCTTTGGACCATCCTCCCTCATCAAAAATGTCCCTAAAGAGGTTGTAGATGCCATCCATGCATGTTTGAGTAATTTAGTAATCTCTCTGCACCCTATTCAAACCCTCCTTTTTAGGGATGTAACGATATTCAAATCTCTCGGTACAATATCATCACGATATGCATCTCACGGTATGATATTTATTGTATTTTGGAGAAGCTGATATAATTGTAGATAGGACACTTTTTTGCTTTTAAAATAAGATTTTGGTGTGAATTATTTCCATCATAATCCCAAGAATTCAAGTCAAAAACATATTTCTTCACGTTGTTTGCACTGAAATGAATCATGGGATATGTAGTATCCTATGTTTATAAGCTTTTGTTACTATAAAACCTGCATTTAAGCAAAGGAACTTGTGATTTGATATATTGTGACAGTCCGCGAAGTTACTGTGAGACTTTTGACGATACGATATCAGGATATTTCGGTTATTGTTACATCAATACTCCTTATGGTTAGCTGTACAAACAAAAACATGATACAAAGCAATACACTACAACTTCACAACCCTGATCTGAAGGGGGAGTAGCTTAGCGCTGAGAGCAAAGGAAAGCATGACTCAGAGCATCAAAAATGAAATTGAAACTTAACGTAACAAGTTGATCTAAATGTTCTGTTTTAGTAATTAATACAACGTGAAAGTGCAATACTCCCTTTTTAATATGTGTCCCGAATCTTCCCGCAATTCCCACTATATTTTCCGTACTAGTTTCTCGGCGGAGTTAAGTTGTGATGTGAAATGTGATTGTGAAATGGAAGGAGACAGGTTATTCTTTGGGTATAAGGGAGTGAGTGCACTGGGAGAGTTTGCCTATAGCTGTCTCCGACTCAAATCCCCACCTGAAGATTTTGACAGTTCTGACACTTTAATTTCCGTCTGCAGACAAAAAACCAGGTGCTTTAAAAATACTGCGGAAAGGGGAGACTACTGACATGTCATAAAACATCTGGAATTAGGGCAAGGGAGTATATATTTTAGTTTTATCACAATATTGAATTTGGTAAGTGCAGTGATGATTTATGGGGTAGAAAAGGGAAGATTAACACTATTGTTGTTGTTAATGCAAAAAATATAAATATATTTGCGCTTAAATCTATGAAAATTTGACTTTTCTTTAAAATAACAATAATAATAACAGGTTTTATGTCTCATGGGAAATACAATACAATTTATCATAGTTAAAGGAGCCATATTAGACGATTTTCTGATTTATGTTCTAATGTTGTTTCCTCGTCACAAACGGACCTGGAGTTGTGTTTTGTTTCATTCACACATGTTTAACGCACAAACTCTGCATATTTAGGGTGCGTTCTAAAACTGGAAGCACTTAAGGGTATCATCAGGTAATACAGGAAGTGCTCCACTGTGTTTTTAAACTACATAAATCGTCACTAGAAGCATTTTGTTGATTTCCGGCCTAGAATTGCTAATCTCTGAACTAAAGGTAAAAGGCAGAACTTGAAAGCTACGACATCATGACATCACAAGGTGGAACAGAGCATTTTGAGCTTTGGAGGTGTAGAGAGACTAATAATAAAGAGTTACTCAAACATGTGCCAAACAACTCCAGATCTGTTTGTGATTGTTGTATTACACCATGATACATAAAACCTGTTATGAAAAAAAAAACATGAACCTTTTTTTTTTTGTTTTTAAATGTCTAACTTTCATGTATTTAAGCACAAATGTATTTTTATTTTTTTGCATTAACAAGAATTGTGTTAATCTTCTCTTTTCTGCCCCATATATCAACACTCCACAAATTCAGAACATTCTAATATGGATTAAATCTCACAAGAGTCAATTTTGGGTTATATCAGGAATTTAAAATACAATTTAAAACTATATATGTTTATGTCTATATGTGTATATGTTTTATGGTTGACTATTATAGATTTAGTTGACACAGTTAAAATAACATTTTGTAGACTAAATCATGACTAACAAAAATTTGACAAAAAATTATTTCAATCAAATGTGTAAGAAATAATCAGTTATAAAAACAGACAAGAATAAATACATATATCAACCAAATAAACACACAATCAATCTACAACCTGTATTTTGATTTTAAAACCAGACTAAAACTTTAACACTAACAAATCATTGTAGTTAAATATCTAAGACCAAAAGTAATGAAAACATGTTTTATGTTATGTTTATGTTTATTTTCATACCCAATAGTTTGGACTGCTCACTAGCTCACTAGTCTTTCTCTGAGCGGTCATGTAATGTTGCTGTGACGTGTCTGGTCAGCTGATTTATACAGGTTTTGGACCGGACACGTCACAGCAACATCACATGACCGCTCTGAGGAAGCGCACAAGTGAGCAGTCCAAACTGTGAGGTATGAAAACAAACTCTTGGTCTGAAAAAAGAACCTAATAACATAAATTATCAGAGGACCAAATGAACCTCACTGGACTGTAGGACTGGGTGTCATTCACAAGTTGACAATACATACCTCGATACATAGGCCACAATACGATATGTATCTCAATACAGTGAGCTTAAGATTCAAAATGATTCAGTATGATATATTTCAAATCAATTCAATACAGTTCACTAAGAAATAAAGTCAAAATCACGATTCTGATACTAAAAGTCTTTGTTAAACCACTTCTTGTGCAAAGTTCATATGAAACACAAACATTTAAATGATCAAAACAGTGAAAATGTCAAATTTGTTGCATACATGAGTTTCCTTTCACTAAACAAGCAACAAAACTGTAGCTCTGTAACAAAATAATTTAGTAAAATACACCAAAAATACTCTTCGTGATATATCGATACAGCAGCCCATGATATCAATACTGCATCATCACATTAAATGACATATAGATATTTCTATATTTTTACACACCCCTACTGGACTGTAACAAAAACATTCTTGACAATGAGTCCAAAATCTTTTAAATACTACAAAAACACTTTTCTTTTTACATCTTGTATCTTCTCAGCAATTGTGTATCGTTTTATTTCTCATCCTTGCGCTTTCTCTTGTGTCCAGATTTGGAAAGCAGCGCAAAGAGGATCGTCCGGCCGAGAAGATGGAACGAAAAGGCTCCAGTAAATCCAAGAGTGAGGAGAGCAAGCAGCCCTCCGAAGACGAGACCCTACGGATGAAGATGGAGCAGGAGAGGTGAGTGCTTCTACCGCCGCTGCTACTGCTAAAACTACTTACAGACGAGGCAGGAACAGGAGATATTAGAAGTGCCCGGACAACCTTGCCTGTGCTCGCTAAAAGCCTACCATTACCTCCTGGCTGCTAAAAACACTACGCTACCGACGGGAAAATTAGCAAAGTATCCAATTAACAAAATGGCGGAGCAAGGCTGAATTCTGGGAACGCACTCCGATGCCAATTTGGGAAGCATCCTTTTTTTCCCCCTTCGTGATGGGTACATTAAATAGATCGTTTATGGATTGTTGTTGGAAGCTTTGACCTCTTAATGGTGCTTGGGAGCCCCAGTGGAGATGGCGTGATTGAGTGGTGCTTATTATAATAGGCCTAGTGAAATCAATGTGGCCTTCCCCAGCAGCGGTCCAGGTTGTTAATCGCTCAAGAATACACTGTGTTTTTTTTATGGAGCTCCACTGGCTAAGGTGAGGTCACTGGACAGACCAACATGACAATGCTGTGTCTGAAGGGTTCCATTTTTGTAGTTTTTTGAAACATGAACAGTGATCTTATAAGATTTCCAGAACTATTAGTTACAAATATAATTCTGTGTGTTTAGAGATTAGAGATTTTCATGGCTGATGTCGATACTGATTGTTTTGAATCCAGAGCGACTGATGGCTAAAAAGTTTGCTGATATTTTTGGGCCGATTTGATTATTTTCCTGAAACTATGAAATTTAAATTTAATACAAACTCAATCACAGTACTTTTTTTAACCACAAACCTTGAAGAAAGCTGTGTAGTCTCACTTTGTGCCGTTATATCTTCGTATTAAAGTGTTAAAATAAAACTTTGTATGGGTTTTTAGGTCGCAATTTGACCAAAACAAAATATCTGTCTGTGTTAGATATTCTAAAATGGGGTCATAAAACTAAACTTAAAAGTTGTCATGGCCTTTTTTTTTTTTTTTATTACTTTTTGGCAAATAATAACATGTCTGCATCTTGTATTTTGTTTCAGTTAAAAAAAATATATTTATATGAAGTATTTATATTTATAATAATTCTTTGATGTATTTACATTTGCTGCTGAATTTTCATCACCTGACAAACTCGAGATCAAACAGTGACAGTCAACGCATGAGCAAAATTCTGTAGTGCAGTTAAAGACAGCAAAATGGCTCATCTTAAAGTTCGAAAAGTTGCCAGAAAGTGCCTGGTTTCCAAAGTACAGTGGACGACCAATATGATATCTAAAGAAGGTGTGGCGGTTTTCAAAGAATATAGTCTGCATCGTCAGGGTCATACAATTCTTTTATACCCGACCGCAGCTCCCATCACAGTCAGAAGTGATAATGTGGCATATTTCAGATGCAAAACTTTTCTCGAAATTCTCAATTAACATGAATGTGATCCCTGATTTATTGGAAATGCCACCAAAGGAAAGCTCAGGTTTAGGAGTATTTAGAGACAAAAGTAGGCTGGGCTGAATAAGGTGAATAGTGTGAGCGTTTATTTGACTCTTTAACATTTTGGTGTAGACAAGAAGGCGGCAGTTATGTGAAGTTACACAAAGCACCTTTAATATTTGAATCAATACTCATTTTAAATATCTGTGTTATATTTTGCCCTTCTACTGTATTTTTGACTATAGGTCACACCAGCCAAAAAATGTGTAATGAAGAAGAAAAAAACATATAAGTCGCACTAGACTATAAGTTGCACTTTTTGGGGGAAATTTATTTTATAAAATTAGAGACCTGGAACTGACATTTTATTTTGAAAGTCAAGTTCTATTAATAACAATAGAAGAGAGAACAACAGACTGTTAACGTCACATATGAACAGTTCTTCAGATAAACTATAACATAAACAACAGAACAAGTTTACCAAACTCTCCATCTCACTCCAAATCACTAAATCCATTCAATTCTTCATCCTCGGTGTCATTCAACTCCGTGACCTCCGGAGGTAAACTGAGCGCAGCTTCCTCTTCTGTGTAGCTGTCGTCAGATTCAGCATCAGTTCCAGTTAGAATTATTCCGGGTTTTTCACTGAAGTTCAGGCTTTGTCCATCCATTGACTTCCAGGAAAGTTTCATGGTGCATCCTCCCGGTGTCACAAGTTTCTCGCTCACTCCAAACTTTCTTTCTGTTGCTCGGTTACCGTTTTCAGCTGCAGATTTCACAACTTGCAGCTTGTAATCTGCAAAATATGATTTTCTTTTTGGAGGAATTTGTGTTCAGTTGTCTCAAATGTCTTTTTAAGTTTGGTTATATAAAAAATTTCAGTGGTGGAGAAGTAACGGTGAAATCGACTGACATGATACAGACAGGACAGAGGCTCTTTCTGCAGGAGACATGTGCAGTAGAGTGAAGTGACAGTGGTACAGGAGGAACAGGAGCAGCAGAAACTGACAAACAAGACTAGAGCCTCTCACGCCTGTCATTGTAAAAATTGTAGGTCACACTTTATAATAACTACACCTTATTTAGCTTTAATAAAGCATGAACAAAGACTTAATTAATAATGATTCACGCTTAGTAACTACTTAATTACTACCTAAATTGCACTTAACTTGCACTTAATTTGCCTGTGCTGTAAATAGTTACTCATAATTATTTCATACTTAATTACTCATAGGACTAACCATTTGAGCATTTATTAATGATTAGTAAGCTATGAGAGAATGATTTACTAATAATGCAATGATCATTCAGGCAGCTGTTATCTGTTAGTTAAGTCTTTTTGAGAGCTTTTCTAAAGTGAAGACTAATTATCCTTTATTAAGCATTTACTAAGCGTGAATCATTATTAATTAAGTCTTTGTTAATTATTAATTAAGTCTTTGTTCATGCTTTATTAAGGCTAAAATAATGTGTAGTTATTACAAAGTGTTACCAAATTTTAATATATAAGTCGCACTGGAGTATAAGTCACAGGAAACACCCAAACCATGAAAAAAGTGCAACTTATAGTCCAAAAAATATGGTATTCATTAAGTTCTAGAAGTCTCATTTGCAACCCTTTTATTTTACCACACTGACTCTGGTCAACCCACACCTTGATGGTCTATAATTGATCTTGCTACTTTCATTGTGTCACCGGGCAAACACGTCGTTTAAAATGTCCTCAGACACACTCTTACTGGCACGTCTCAAAACAGCGTCCTTTGAGAGTCTTCAGAATAGCTCCGTAATGTCCAGAATCATTCCAGTGTTAATAAGTGTTAAATTGCGTGTTTGGCGTTGGGGACACCTCACCATTACCTCCTTTAAATACCTGAGAGAAAAGCTCCATTGACTCCGGTCTAACTCTATGGAGACTGTATTGATGGCACAGGGAACAGCCGACATCTTCCTCCCCCCATTGTCTCTAAATGAACTCGGTGATCAGAGTGAAGCTCGTAATGACGCCTAATTGAATCCAAACAATAGGCCTTGATAGCGCTCCCTCTTCCCGTTAGCTAGCTAGCAAACAAAAACAACATAAAAAAGAGACACTGACAAAGACCTATTTTGCTCGCTGAATGGAACATCTGGAAGGCTCGCTGAAAGAAAGCTCGCGCGTTTTCGGTTTTGGTTTGGAGGTTGTGACTAGCGAGGTGCCAGCCAGCAGGTCCCCTTTGGCTCGGGGCCCGACGCGTTTTCCCCGGTCGCACCCCAGGGACCGGCCAACCTGGCTCTCCGTCCAAGCCCGCCCCTCCCGAACGGGGCTAAGCGGCAGAATGAGCGTGAACAATGTACAGGACATGCCCTCACAGCACGCACCCGCCCACAGACACGGGCAAATGTTGTCGCTGATATATTTTTGTCTCGCCTTTTTTCTTTGTTCTACACCGTAAACCGACGTGTGTAGACGAGAGAGAAAAATACTACTGTTACTTCAAAATAATAGTACTCTAAAGCCGTGTATTTGAGAAAAAAAATGCAGCTTTTCAGGTTGCTTGTTGTCCACATCTGATTACAAAGCATTTTATTGTCCGACAACCAGGAAGTGTGTTGTTAGCATGCTGTTTTTTGCTTACCGAGCTGAGAAAAGCGCTTATAAATTCAATAATAACTTTGGACAACTGCAGAGTTCTGTTTTTCTGCAAACTAGTTCTATTTTCTCATGTTTTAAGACAGTAAATATCAAGTGTAGTACTTTAAGAAGTCAATAGTAGTGGTTCGAAAAATATAGATACAAAATTAAGAAAAACTAAATCAGATTTGGAAGAGCGCTGCAAGAAACACAAATGTTCAAATCATTTTATATTGTCCACATAAAACTTTTGTTATTCACACTGTAAACCCGAATGCTCAAATTAATAATAATAAAAATATATATTCCTAAATAATCAAAAAAAAAAAAAAAAAAAAAGTTAGGTGCCATATTTAATTAGATTTTTTTATTTTGAGATGCAATTATCTGAATTTCTGCACATTAAATCATTATTTTAATTGTTTTAACCTTTAATTAAACATTATATTTTTTGTATGCAACTGTAATGAAAGATTCTGTGTGATACTTACTCATTTTAATTTACTTTAATTAAAAATAATAAGACTATAAACTTAAAAAAAAGAAAAAGTTAGGCAACCATTTATCTCAAAGTTCTTAATTACTGCTTAATTGTTCAGGTTTACAGTGCACAGTGGGAAGAGGAACCACAACTTTTCCTTAAAGAAAAGTACTTTTACACTGTACAAGGTAATGCTGAAGTAGGAGTAAAAATATAGTGTTAAAAATGTGCTAAAGTATGAGTAACTGAGTATCCATATTTATTTAACACAAATTATCATCTAAAAAAAAAGAAGAACCAAAAAAACATACACATTAACATACAAAGTCAGTTGACTCATCCTGCTCCCAGATATTATAATATTCAAAAACTGTTTTGCACAAATGAGTTCAAACACAACCTGAGAGGTCAAATGCATTTTAAAAAACAATTCTCTTGAACCACGTTTAAAAGCATGTGTGTAAGAGACGTGGAGTAGACTTATGGAACAGCTTAGATGACATGACATACCAAAGC